TGTTCAGTCAAAACGGGAATTTTCTCAAATATAAATTAATATTATAATATATTAGCATATTGTACATATATAGGCATAGGATAGGTTAGGTGTTTAGGTTCTGTTGGCGATTATTTGTATTTGTAGTACGTGGGTGAAGCATTTACAGCGTTGTGGTTCGAACAAAAGTCGTCAGTGAAGCACTTGTTCCGGAAATGTTCGGACGAAATCAGTTGTGAGTCGTGTTTAAACCGCTTTCCATTTATAAACAGGGGGTTTGGCAGCTGCATGGAATAGACTTTGGCCTTTGTTTATGAGGACGGGCTGGTTTATGAATGAAAATAGCTTTACATAAGACTCACAACTGATGACGTTCGAACATTTCTCGATCAGTGCTTTGCTGACGTCCTCTGTTCGAATGACCAGTCCGTAAATACTTCCCCCACGCTCTTCAAATACAAATAATTGTACAAAACCTAAACACCTAACCTATTACTAAATATGCACAATTATGCTAATATACAATAATAGTAATTTATATATGAGAAATTTCCTATTTGAAATGAGCAACATGTTAAAATAGAGTCGCGTGTCTTTAGGGCTCTGAATGAATGTGTCTTTGGGGTCGGCCGCTGGATGGAATGACCACAGGCTGCGCCCTCCACCCTTTACTTCGGGGGTCGGGTCATTAAGGTGCTTACTATCGTTAGTGAAGGTTGTGTAGTTACGAATGTTATAGACGCGTTTAAAGTGTAACTAGAAAACTATTACGCTACCCTCTGCTGCCGGATAAGAGCAGCGTGCGTCGCTACAGTGAGCTGTAACAATCGGATTTTGTAATGTTGACGTAGTGGGATATATTAGTGAGGAACCCGCAGGGAATTACGCCAGGAATCGCAGCTAGTTCCTCACGTGGCTACTCACGTGGCTATTCAGTGTCTCTTTATCAGCATGAAAGGTAAGCTACTCGATAATCAACGTTACCTTTATATATATGTATATGTATATTACATATACATATACATAATGTGTGTGTGTGTGTTTGGATTAATATGCTATGTTTCTTTGTTTTGATTACATGTCTGATGTTCGAGTATTGAAATAGGCATTTCACTAATTGATAAGAATTAATTAGGTTTCATATCGTTACAGGTAAGAAATTAGAGATCAGCGGTCAACAGAAATCCACCAATTTTGAGGTAAGTTCTCATATGCTTCTGTTCCCATAGTTTTATTTTATAGGTCCAGCAAACCTATCTTGAGATAATTTCGGGGCTTAGCGTCCCCGCGGCCCGGTTCTGGACCTTACCTAGGGGAAACTTAGCGTGTGGAAGGTGTTCATTATGTTCAGGCGAGCTGTAATTACTTTAGTATACGATGTAATTGTTTACAATTTTTAGTAGAAGCAGGCTGGCCGCCCTTGTATGATGACGGTCATTAGAATTCTGTGGTCTAATGGCCTCGTTTAAAGTCCAAGTTATTTAACGTTTATAGAACATATTTTCCTTGCTGGGTATAGTCTGTTTTCTTGGTTTGACACTTCGTTAAAAAAACACCTGTTTTCGCTATAATTAAACGTTTGAACACGAAGTCACTCGTTTAGACCGATATATAGAAAACGTGAATATTACGGGAATTTCATTATTATTAATATGTCGTATTGATCACTGTTTAAATGACTGCGTAAAAAGTGCGACGCATTTGGTGAGAGAAGTCCTGAAATTCCGGGTTCGATCCCCGGTGGAAGTGGAAACAAATAGGGCAGAGTTTCTTTCATCCTGATGCCTCTGTTTACCTAGCAGTAAATAGGTACCTGGAAGTTAGACAGCTGCTTCGGGCTGCTTCCCGGGAAAAACAAAAAAGGAGGCCTGATCAAGGACCGGGCCGCGGGGACGCTAAGCCCCGAAATCATCTCAAGATAACCTCAAGATAGAACGGGGTGGGATACTGGGGTTTAACCTACGAAGACTGTACGGATTGGGAAGTCAACTGGTCAGAGGAGTGGTAACAACTGGTCAGAGGAGTGGTAACAGAGGCAAGGACCAGGAGCTTGAGCCTAATCTCTAAGACTGGGGCTCGTTACCATTAGGGTTGACGTTTCTAATGAAGCTGAGAGCTGCTTTAATACAACTTAGGTGAAGCCTGACACTAAAACCAGATTTATTTGATCCCATTATTAAGGTTCCTTTGAGAATAAAGTTTTAGTCGTTTGACTTAATTTCAGACGTGTCTATATATTGAGCAATGGTCGAAACGCGAGTCGGTCTAGTAATGAATGATTGCTGAGTGATATGCTTGAGAATGGCGCGGTTAGCACGAGGCCGCTGAGCGCCTTGAGTTGTGGGTCCCACCTTTTGGTGGTAACAAATGGGCCGAATTTCTTTCGCCATGCTTCACCTAGCACTAAATAGGTACCTGGGAGTTTGACAGCTGCTACGGGCTGCTTCCTGGTGTGCGTGTGTTAGAAATATATGTAGCAGACATAAGAGAGAACAAATAGATTAGTTAGAAAGGCGGGGTCCAAGACCTAATAGCTCGATTCTGCAGACACGAATAGTAAATACGCACTTGCTTTTTTAGCTTAAGTGGTCAACTAAAGATTCTTTCGAATTATGTCTGAGTTGGAAATGCGTCAGAGATGGTGTACG